ACGCCACTGATCCGCCATAACATGACTGAGTTCTGTCTAGAAGAAACGTTTGCGCATCGCGCAGGGGAAGAAGTTTAGTTTTCTGGAAGCATACGGAAATTACCGAGGCCTTGCGAATGATCACTTTTGAAACAACGTCGCTGATTGCACAACTAAATCTGATTGTCTCCAATCACGAGTCTTGAACGCTCACACCATGAAAGTGCCGTATTAGAACAGAGGTTACGTAGGAAGATATGACAGGAGTAACCTCTGTGGGAAGAGAATGCATGCAGCTATGCGTATTTCGTATCTCGACAGTCATAACACTCATATACATTCATGTCTTGTACGAATTATGTAAAAATAGCAAACAGTTCCGGTCATACACATAAGGTGAGTGAGTGAATGAATTTAGTTTTACTCCGCTTTAAACAACATTCCAGCAATATCACGGCGGGGGACACTAGAAATGGGCTTCAAACATTGTACCCATGTGGGGAATCGAACCCGGGTCTTCAGCGTTACAAGCGAACGCCTTAACCACAAGGCTACCCCACTTCCCTCGTTATCATAAGGGGCGGTGGGGTAGCATAGTGGTTAAGGCGTTCGCTCGTCACGCCGAAAACCCGGGTTCGATTCCCCACATGGGCACAATGTGTTAAGTCCATTTCTGGTGTCCCCCGCCGTGATATTGCTGGAATATTGCTAAAAGCGGCGTAAAACTAAACTCACTCACTCACTCACTCGTTATCATAAGGGATACAGCTCCAACTAGAATAACAGACAACATCGTATATGTTTTAAGACTTACCATACTGACTGCATACAGATCAAAGGTGATGACCGTTATGATGTTCTAAAACAGTAATTTAGTATGACAAAAGCACAGAATATAGATGTCATTGGATAAGCTTACCTCAAATGGGAAGAAAGGTCCAATAAGTGAAATACAACAAAAGGCAAAAAATGTTTCCAATGAAGAGAATCGAGAGACACAGGACACGCCTTGCTTTGCTGGCTCCCGTGGCATCGTGCGCCGACTGGTCCATTCTCGGGTTCGCTGTCCGAATAGAGTCTGTTGTGGAAAGTGGCCAACGTTTAATTAATTATAAAAAAACAACTACAGCGGAAATATTACGTATAATTCTACAACCATATTATAGACAGATATTATGCAAAGCCGATAAAGCTTCTCTATTGCTGTCCTTTCATATTCGTTGATCTGAGTTTGATCAGCTCCAAGAGTGTGTTTAGCTTTTCGTCGCTTTTGGCAATATTCGTGCAATATTCACGGCGGGGCTCACCAGGAATGGGCTTCACTTACTGTACCCAGGACTTATGTGATCTATAAACATTCGATGTGTATATAAAACTATGTACGACACGTACAAAATTGATGTTCCTGTACACTTCCAAGTTCTCAAATTTGTGACCCAACTACCATCGTTACCAAAGCTGGTGTAAATGTTTTATGTGGTAACATCGTTTTCAGCGTTGATATACTGATAGTTAAAATAAAACATATTCACGTTTTGCAATGTATAGCTAGGTGTTGATTGTTCTTTTAATAATTTACTGGATTCGCATATGGCGCACGATGTAAACGATACTAGGATAATGCACATCATGTAAAGTTAGGCTAATTATATTTCGTTGTTATCGACATAACATATGGCATCGCTTTCCACGGATCTAGCTTATGGTTACATTACATTTCATATACATGTAGATGGCTTCAAGAGTATAGTCTGTTTGCAGTGAAAACGTACCGATGAATTTCACTCTAAACAAAATCGAATAAAGTGAACTTGAGATTGCGAATCCTCATAATTTTACCTTGCAAATTGAACATTCAAATCTCAGAGTTTTATTCAACTTAGGAATAACTTTAACAAACGATCATAATTTCAAATTGCTATTATGGGTTTAACGTCGTACGTAACAATATTTCGCTCATATGACGACGTGCGTGTTTATGTGTGGCTGCTTGTACTTGCCCAGACTTAAGCTGGTTTTATAGTGTTAGCTCACTGAGATACCATGCCGCAGTGAAGCATGAACACCCCACTCAGACACATTATACTGACCTCGAGCTGACCAGTCCTTGTTGTACCCATTAATGCCGAGCGCCAAGCAGGGAACAACAAGTACCATATTTTAACGTCTTCTGGTATGACGTGGCCGGGGATCGAATCCGCGGGGGGATCGAACCCGCGAATGGTAGATAGGCACCGACAATAGGTTTTGCTTTACTTCTCTTCTGACAAGCTTCATACACCTGTCAATGTACATGTAACAGTGTAGGTATGGGGAAATACTTACATATTGCACAGACCGAGGACGAATGAGAAAAAACAACAGGGGGACGACAGTCATGACAATCAACTGAATCACATGTGTGTCCCATCTGTTACTTTTCATTGGAGGAGTGGAAGTAGTTATAATCACTCTCTTGTCAGATATAAACTATATAGGTTAGATGGCAATACAGCATTTCAGTGATAATTGATATATACGGACGTTTGTCTACACTAGTGAGTGAGTGAGTAAGTATGGTTTTACGCCGCTTTAAGCAATATTCCAGGAATTTCACGGCAGGGGACACCAGAAATGGGCTTCACACCTTGTACCCATGTGGGGAATCGAACCGGGTCTTCGACGTGACGAGCGGACGCTTAAACCACTAGGCTACCCCACCGCCCCACGTCTACACTAACATATTGCCAGTTGCTGTTATGTTCTTAGCAGTGACTACTGTTAGTTTATACGTCAACTAAAAAACCCATTACCAGTGATAAAACTTTGAAGTAAACAGTTTTCCATCACCAATTCGACCATATTCTTCATGCTTGACATCAGTCACGTCGCAGTGACGGTGATGGTACGCCTAAACAACACTTCAGATCATCACGGGGCTGCCTCACGATGAATGTCTGGTCGTGGGGACTTGGCCCCGTTACAGAAAGCTATCGTAGCGCTACGACTGTCGTACCTCCTATACTGTAACATAGACTTACGGTCACATGATGATACTCCACTATAGCGAAGGTAAACAAATAATATTAGCCTAGATTTCATTAGTGCACCCTTAGTCCTCATTTCCAATTCAGTCGGTACAATGGGAAACAGTTAATTAATAAGTTTGCTAAAATTTGAATCATTTCGCCCACAAAACAGGCCAGGTGGTTCATATTGTATGACGTAGGTCAATTCAGTAGACAACCAAGCAGATAGTTTAATGCAGTATTCACATTCCGAAGACCCGGGTTCGATTCCCCACATGCTTACAATGTCTGAAGCCCATTTCTGGTATTCCCCCGCCGTGATATTGGAGGAAAATATTGCTAAAAGCGTAAAACCCAACTCACTCACTTATGGAATCCGAGAAGGGACATTGTCGCGTTGTCGCATTGTCGCGCTTTGGTTACTTTTGCCTCATTACGCTTGTTTTTGAGAGGGCGACAATGCGACAACGCGACAATGTCCCTTCTCGGATTCCATACTCACTCACTTAATGCAGTATTATGTTCGTCAGTCCAATAACATAGCTATTAAAAATGGTGTTTTAAGTGCACATACAAATCTATTCAAAGGAGGAACTCGGGGTTCAAACCCAGCGAGAGTGACTGTTTATGGTCAACGAGGTTGAACGTGATATTTGTGGCTCTTGGTTTTGTGTTTTTACTTGGTCGACTGGGCCAGATCATCGATGTTGATTCCTAAACGCCTTTAAAGAGACATTAAATTACCTGACATGGGTGTCAAGGACGCGTGAGCACGCTATCTTACTACCCATCAAAAGTTTAGACTCACTAGTGTAAACGTAGCCACTTACTTCAGTCAACTGTTCTGAACTAGATTTTGCAAAATATTCCATACTGTTTCAAGGTAGTTTACACATGAACTGATGTATTGTTAATCAAATTAGTAATGTTGAAAAGATTATTGTCATTAGTTCGATAAATGATGAAACTCCGTGAAAATTTGCGAATTCTTAACAAAACGTTACACCAACACGCAGCTGTTCACATGCACGATATTTGCACATGCTTTTCAGCAATTTGATGCATGATCCTCGTGCAGTTCATCTGCATAAGGTTTGCAGTTGGTTCCCCTAAGTTAGTGGAGAAATTCATCTTCGATGTAACCACATATATATATACATAACATGTAGTGAGTGCTTTAAGTGAGTCTAAACTTTTGATGGGTAGTATATATAGATTTTGGTGTCGGGCGGATTACCCACATTCCTTTGCAATTTTGTTTTGGCAAGATAAAAAATGAACATATTTATTATTTCAACTAAAAGAGCACATGAGCTTCACTTCACTGGAGAAAAGTCTTTTTCTGTTTCATTGCAACGCATGTAATGATCTGCCAAACCCAACTACCCAAAACTACGAACAGCTTTCAAGCAAATATCGAAAACTTCCCTGACGTGTCATGTCACACATTATAATATTTCTGAAAATTAATTAAGTGATGAAGTCAGATTGTTGATAGATGCTTTTCATTTTGCAATCTGAAAGCAGTATCATGGTTGGCGACATCTGCACCTATGTTGGGAATCAAACCCGGAACTTCGGTATGACGCCAAAGTATTTAACCACTGTGCTACCCCAACAGCCACGAGTACACACAGGGATTGCCAGAGAGCATAGTCGTCTATAAGAAGCCGCAGCACGCTATATGGGCTCTTGTTTTCAATCTCCTCGTAGGTCTCACCACAAACTGCAAAACTTGGGCTTCCCTTTATTATTATGCTGGCACATCCTGAAAGTCTGAATTGTCTATGTGACAGTATTAAGAAAATGTTCAACAAATCAACATTTCCATTACATTACATGATATAATAACATATTTGGCTGATGACAAAACTCAAAAATGAAATAAGCATTGCATTATGTATTCAGCTTTTCCAGACATTTTATACGCGATGACATGGATACCAATGAAATAAATGAGAATATTAACTTGTCGTATTAAATTTCACACTGATCATGGACTGACATTGTAAGCAATTTGTCGATCCAATTATTTAATGTTATTAAAAGAGTACTAAGCATATGTGTATAAATTGCTAAACGTAAACGTATATGATTCCATATAAATCACCAGCAGATATACTCAACGTGAGCGACATCAAAGTGAATGAGTGAGTTTAGCTTTACGCCGCTTTTAGCAATATTCCAGCAATATCAAGACGGGGACACCAGAAATGGGCTTCACACATTGTACCCATATGGGGAATCGAACCAGGGGCATCGGCGTAACGAGCGAACGCTTTAAACACTAGCTACCCCACCGCCCCGACGTGTCTGAAGAACACGTTCAGTGCGAATCGCGCAAAGAATGGCCACATCACTTTTTATGTGTGCCGAATGAGCATTTAAAACAACCTAGTGACATTTATTTCTTCAAGTAGTCTGTTGAAGGTCGCATGACAGCGGTGTTCTCCCCGTACTGGGACACAGGGCAGCTGCAGAAGGAATGCTTGATATCTCGCACCACATAGATAGGACTACTCCTTGTTTATGCCACTGGCTATCTCAGCTGCGCATTCCCATCCACTGGAACGCATGTTAATCTGTATCAAATCTATCTCGAAACAGGTGCAGAGACCGCTGTATTGAACCCAGGGACGCCCGGGAATCCATGGCCATCTTCGGTTCTTTCTTCTGAAACAAAACATCATAATTGTACACATGCATCAATGAGATGACTGATCGTCATTTTGCTTTCTAAGAAAAAAAAAGGATTATTCATTAATATGCTATATATACTGAAATCCATTAGAAACGCAGCATCCCACTATCATTGATCTTGGAATATACAAAACGAATTTTGACTATGATAGATAAACGTGATGCACAGCGAGAAGCATGTGCAACCCTATGTGATCACGCGGCCAATCATCTGCTGAAAAAACCTTCGCCTGCAGTTTGCTTGCATAAACCGTGGCGGTTCCACAACACACTGACATATCATTGAACTGTATACCCAATTCACACCTTAAGTTTGACCAGCACTTAATTATTGACTTTACGTATACATAATGCCGCTTTTAACAGTTGTTGAGAGGAAGAGCTGTTTAGTGTCAAAGAGTTCAGATATTACCAAAGTCATGCTGATGGAAGGATCAGAATCTGGCGAGGAGGACGTAACGCTGATTGTTGCATTCAGCTGATAAGTGAGTGAGTTGTGTTTTACGCCGCGTTTAGCAATTTTCCAGCAATATCACGGCGGGGGACACCAGAAATGGGCTTCACACATTGTACCCATGTGGGAAATCGAACCCGCGTCTTCGGCGTGACGAGTGAACGCTTTAACCCCTAGGCTACTCCAACGCCACTTCAGCAGATGAACCGAGACTGGGGTGAACTTGGGATGGAGACGTAGTCATGGCAGGGAACGACTACACATCTGTCGTGGTCGAGTTACAGCTCAAACGTATACAGGTACTGAGGTACTGAGACCAACACTCGTTCCCCACATGGCGGCAGATCAACGTCACATGTTGCAACACGGTAAGGCACGACCCCATAGGGCTAGACACAACATGACCTTTCTTCCGTACCACATTCCTGTCCTGTCGTGGGCTTCTCCAGATCTAGCGTTGTTTGATTTGTGGGACAAGATGGGGAGAAGACTTTCCGCTAGTGCTCAACCGAATAACGTCCACGAGTTGGAACTTGCAACGAATATGGCGTCAAATACCGCCAGCTTTCATGTGAAGGTTATCTCATCTTCGACACGAGATCTATCTATGCTCCACGCAAATGGTGGCCATACACACTCTACAGACACTGACTGTGCGAAAGGTTTGAGCGAGTGTCAAATTTCCATTGAACTCCCGTCATTGTTATGGTTAATTTATGGTTGCACTAAACGATTAATGACTCCATTTTCTTTTCCTTGTGTTTCCATCTTGATCAACAATTTTATTGTCAGTAGGGACAAGTTCTCTTCTTCATTCATTAGGGAGATAAAACGTTTATTCCGCCGATACGTCTTTAGTGGATTTCAGTATACATTGTTTCGAGTCCATTCTAGTCTGACTTTAATGATGACATCATTTTTTATATATATTCCAAATGACTCGATATGAGTTTGGCTGCAAAGAAAGTCATCTAAAATATTACTTTCCTCACCACAAGACAATAATTTACTGAAGTTGAGAAGTACTTGAATGCTATTGCCATCCTTGAAGGTGAAACAACATGCATCATACTGTGCCCTTATTTGTGCATCATGTGACGCCAAAGGGAACTTCAACGAAATAGATACGCCCTGCCACACAAAGCCAAAGCTATTGTGAACGTCGTGTATAAGCGTCAGTGGTCTTTAGCACACGGGTGACTGAGTTTGCGTTTTACGCCGCCTTCAGGAATAGTCTACCAATATCAGCGGGAGACACAGGAAATAATATTGACACATTGTACCCATGCGTGGAATCGAACCCGGCCCATCGGCGCGACGAGCAAACGCTGAAACCACTAGGCTACCACACCACCCCCTTAGGCACACTAACTATATGAAGTTGTTAAACTAAATAATGAGGATCGGATGAACAAAGTGGTTCATGTCTCATCGTCGTTGCTAACAAGAGCGGGGTAACCTGGCCAAAACTTCATTACATCCACGCAACCGCAACATACAAACCTTGTTGCCTACTGTGGGCGGTGGGGTAGCTGGAGGTTAAAGCGTTCGCTCGTCACGCCGAAGACCCGGGTTCGATTCCCCACATGGGTGCAAATTGTGAAGGCCATTTCTGGTGTCCCCCGCCGTGATATTGCTGGAATATTGCTAAAAGCGACGTAAAAACTAAACCCACTCGCTCACTGTTATCTACTGTGGCATAAAACATCATTCGCTCACTCCAGGCGACCGATGTCTCAAAGAATCAGCATTAGTATATACTTACCACTGGTGGTGTCTCCTTTGTGGTCTTGGCGGGTTTCTTCTGTTTGGGTTCAGGTTCCTTGGCTGGTTTCCTTTCGTACGGTTCGTGGTCACGTGACCAGGGCGGTACGTATTCCTTATATCCCGTGTAAGGTTTTATCTTGTCGTAGTTACGTATCTTGTCGTACTTCCGTACAGTATTATAGCGCTTGATAGTATCATAATTCTTCACCTCGTACTTCTTTACTTTGCCGTCGTACGTTTTGATCTTGGGGTCGTAATTTACAGTTTCGTACTTTCTGTCCTTGTACATCTGCATCCCACTGAAACGGCAGACATTCACAATGAACATCAAACTAACGTTACATAATATTTCAAACATCTACAAACATTCACCTATAAACATCAACCCTAAAAGGGCGAGTATCGTTTTACGCCACTTTTGGCAATAGTTCAGCTATATCACGGCGGGGGACACCAGAAATGGGCTTCACACATTGTACCCATGTGGGAAATCGAACCCGGCTCTTCGGCGTGACGAACGAACGCTTTAACCACTAGGCTACCCCACCGCCCCTGTCCTGTTATGAGCACAAACATAAGAAAAAAAGCAAAATAAGATGCGTGACACTGACAGAGGTCTGGCAAGCAGATACTGATACAGGATTATGGTATGCATGTGTACTTACACGTCAGTGTCGAGCAGGAAGCAACATGGCAGTCTGAAGAGAGGGGAAACAGTACCTTTACCTATCCCGACGTGCATCAGGCGCGTCCGTTTGTGTGTAGCAACAAAACATGGATACGTGTTTACAAGGTATTTGCTTATATCTATCCATGGTCATGGCCTTGCGATGCAATCTACGTATTTTGAACATGGATAATGAATGTAATCAATACTTGCCAAGACTTATCGGTCCCTTGTGTGTTGATGTGTTTGCGTGTCAAGTACAATTGTCTACCTAATGCTGTTCAATTACCGCACGATTCGCTCGAGTTGGCCAGGTGCTTCAGCTCGGATTTCAAACAACTGACGGTCGTCGTTTGATACTTAGTGACAACTGGTTCTCAAGGTGCTACTGTGTTGCGTTTTAACACTAGCTGGCTTATCTGATGTTGATGGTTATATCTATGAAGGCAGGTAATGCAGAACGGTATGGAGGTGTATGGTTATATTATACGTGACAGATGGTGACGTTAGGTGATTGTCATTATCAAACAGAGTGCGTGTGTGTGCGTGCTCTCTCTCTCTCTCTCTCTCTCTCTCTCTCTCTCTCTCTCTGCTCTCTCTCTCTGTACGTCTATGTATGCGTATCTCTCTCTCTCTCTCTCTCTCTCTCTCTCTCTCTCTCTCTCTCTCTCTCTCTCTCTCTCTGTGTGTGTGTGTGTGAGAGAGAGAGAGAACCCAATATACACGGTTTCTGTCGTATGAAAGTTCACAGCTCTGTTTTGTCTACAGTTGTCCCACTGAGATACCATGAAAGTGAGTGAATGAGTGAGTTAATATTTAACGTCAAATCGGCAATATCGGAAGGTCGCGGGTTCGATCCCCGACCGCGTCATACCAAACTACGTTAAAATATGGTACTTGTTGGTCCCTGCCTGGCGCTCGGCATTAATGGGTACAACAAGGACTGGTCGGCTCGGAGTCAGTATAATGTGTCTGAGTGGGGTAATCATGCTTCACTGCGGCATCGTATCTCAGTGGGCTAGCACTATAAAACCAGCTTAAGTCTGGGCTAGTACAAGCAGCCGCACATACACATACACACGCATGCACGTCGTCATATGAGCGAAATATTCTCAAGCACGACGTTAAACCCAATTTCACCTCACCTGCATGGACCCTAGCTGGATTTACACCATCCCCTCAGCCGCTAGATACCACGAAAGAGTAATCCTTGCTCTTGGACGATTGATGGAGAAATATGCTACGACTCAAGCAGGACGGCGTCCTACGTTTCGCACCAAAGCGCATTACTCTAGACATGCATATTTACCGTAGTTAACGAAATAGGCACAGCATATCGCACACAGAGTTGTCAGGTGCACTTGAGATTATGAAGACTGTCAGGTATTCAGCGTACAATCTCGTTTATAACAAAGTTATTCATAGCCTTTGATCTTTGAATTTATCTTGGTACTATTGATTTTTATGTTTGATAGATTAAAAGATATTACGCAAAAGAGAGTTATTGCGGTGTGTGAAATTACAGCACATTTCGTTGTACTTTTGTGCCTGACATTGGCAAAACATCGTGAAAGGTCTGATGCAAGTCGTTACTATGCAAACATAAACCTGGACTGGTTAACTATAACTGCCCTGTACCCTGTTCAAAATGACAACTTAAGTGCTACGTCTGTCTTTACGCCGATACTTCAACATTGACTGACAACAGTAAGTTGAGATTGGGCAGGGAGAAGGAATTGGCTCAGACAACAACTTGTCTGTGGAACAATCCTGCTATTACACAATCATCTTTTAAACATGACAGTCAAACCCAAGGGAACGAACACTTCGTACACCAAGAGCGCATATTCCAGGAGACAACACTCTTAGAAAACGCTCTGTCTTAACAATTAGAAGCGACAAGACCCTTTCCAAACCCATACGGAATCTCTTTCAAAAGCAGAGTCGAGTGTACAACTGTGACTATATTATGAGCAGATATTTGCTTCAGCAGTATTACCGTTATACGATGTTGTTTGTAAACAAATCGAGTCTTGACCAGACAATCCAGTGACCATGCGATACGATGACAGAGCATGTGTTTATGAACCACTATGAAATAGTGATGATTCCAGGTATTCGCTAAAAGGTGAGCGTATCCTGCCAGTGACACGTGTCATTAACATAGCCAAAGTCTTGTCACTTGTCACCTTAGTTTCAATAGATAAATATGTTTTTGATGCACCACAGCATTAGTTAAACAGAAATTATTAGAGAAATCCAAAGTATCTGTTTTGCTCTTCTTTATAAGTGCCATGTGTTTTGCTGATAGCTGACGTGTTGTCCAGTCATGCCGAAGGTCCGGTTTAGATTCCATTACAAAGTTTGAAGCCCATTGTTTGTCGGCCCCCATCGTGATTATTGTTAAAACGGCTTACGCCTTCACTCGCACACTCACACACTGATCTTTCGCTGGTTATCTAAAGCAAAAAAGGTATGAGGCTCTGTGAAATCTTGGTGCTCGATTGTACCTTAATGGTTGTGAAATATAAACACCAAAGGTTGGAGCTGTTGGAATGTTGCTGGCCATGAAAGGAGATTTGACTACTGGGAAGTTGAAATCCCCCTTGTCATTCAGCCTCGTGCACGGTTTTCTTGCCACTCTGAATCTCTGAAAATCACACTGTTGCGGTTTACGTGACATCAAGAAGTAGTCTGGGTGTATCACAGTTAGCTTATGTTTATAAATACCAAAAGTGGTCTAGCTCCTGAGTATATCAGTGAACTCCTATCAACCTACACTCCAGGGAGAGATCTTAGGTCAAGACCATCAAGAGCACTGGATGTTCCTATGACTAGGAAAAGACACTATGGAGATAGATCGTTCTCCAAAGCCCGCCCCTGGCTCTGGAACCGTCTTCCTCGGCGCATTCAGAACATTGTCAATCTCGACCAGTTTAAACGACAACTAAAAACACACTTGTTCAACATAGCCTTCGCCTAAGCGCCTTTGAGCAATATGTTGGAACAGGCGCTATACAAATATTAACTTTATTTATTTATTTATTAAAAGTGATGCTGGTCTTCGAGGTTGACCACTTTGAGGAAACCCCTGATTCTTGGCTCCCTTCTGACAAACCAAGTACTGTAATCAGGACGGACATGGGTATCAAACCTACCATTTTCAGATCCAGCAAACCCAGAGAACCCAACTCTGGGTATTCACGCCGATGGACATTTACCGTCAATTCAGCAAGAGTGGCAGAAGTCACATAAAGAGGATAGCCCCATTCGTCACCACTCGCCCCTTTCCGTAACCTCATTCGTCACCACTCGCCCCTTTCCGTAACCTCCAAGAACATTCGTCACCACTCGCCCCTTTCCGTAACCTCCAAGAACATTCGTCACCACTCTCCCCTTTCCGTAACCTAAAAGAAGATTCGCCCCCTCTCGATGTTTGTTATATGCGAAAATACGATAAACCAATCAGAACGCGCGTAATGATTGCCGTGCTTTGATAAAAATAATCCGGAGTAATTAAATCGTTTATGGCATTATGTCATTGTTTAAAAATCAGTAAAATATAAATCATCATAGTGAAAGTACAAAGAACGTAGCTAACAGAACTGTGCTGCCTAATGTGAAGGTTTTAATAAGAATAATATGATTGACGGCGAGAGATTCAAATACAAGCACGTGCGTTTGTTTAAATAACGACTCTCGTGGGTCCAGTTGAGTGTATTTCTGACGTGGGTACAATGTGTGAAGCCCATTCCTGTGTTCCCCGCCGTGATGTTGCTGGAATATTGCTAAAAGCGGCGTAAAACAAACTCAGTCAGTCAGTCAGTCAGTATTTCTGACGACTTTGTGGGCTTCTTTTGGAGATTGTAAGTGCGCTTTCCAACATGTTAGGAAATATAGTTATAAATCGCTACGAGTTTCAAAACAATGATATTATATCTAAATTTAAATATAACTTAATCTGACTTTGTGGGTGTCATTCGTATATGTTTCAGCGTATTCATTTTAATATTCTACCAGGGGTATGGCAGCAAGGTTACACGAACGCTGTTTCAGAAATATTTTAAAGCCATTTCGAGTAGCCGCTATGGGATATAATGTAGCTGAAAAAAAAAGATTATTTTATTTGCATATTCAATAAAACAAAGCCCATCTGAACCCTATTTGTATATATAAGGTGAACAGCTGGTTATAATTAAGTTGGAATTTGTCTTTTACAAATATTTGGTCTCCTTCTTTTAGTTGTATCAAAGAGGTTTACTTCACTAAAAGAAATAAATAAAAAGTAGTAAAACGATATAGAAGTGCTTCGGTGATAAAAAAGTACTAATAGAATCAAACAGGGATTCAGTTATCGGTCTTGTTTGAAGTAGTTCTGATATTCATAGGCCAATATGAAATCTTCCAGAGGGGCACGAGTCGCTATTCGGCTTGTCCCGGAATAACACTAGAAGGTCACGAATGGGGATAACCCCGCTTGAGCAAAACAGCTTTGGTATCTTTTCGTGATAAATCGGACTAGAATAACAACATGTAATCTACATGTTATAACCTGTAGGATAAGAAAAATGTATAAAGTTCCAGCAAAATATTGGTCTGTCATTCAAAGAAGTCAAAATGGTAAGTAGCGATCATACATAAAATTTCTGAACGAGCCACATCGTCACTCACTAGTCTATAGCTTAATACTAGCTCGCTGGATCACTTATCTTGGCGAGATAAGGATAATGCTTTGATTGTTTCATCACATACATTGGTTAAAACCTTTGTCAATCCTGCAATTGCATTGCTTTCGCCTCAGATCAATGTTCTGAATCAACCTGAAGTTTGTTCTTGGCAACAAGACTGGAATATTGATGTTTGATGTATATAATACCTAACTACTGGTCAATATTTTTTAGATGAATTTTCATCTTGTACTTGCTTTGGTGTGTCTGGCGGGCAGTGCAATGGCTGCCCACTGGCACCCCACCACAACAACACCGAAACCGAAGACACGTGCAGACCTAATGCACGAGAAGATGGATGTCCTGGAGAAACTGATGGAAACTGTTGCTAGGCAGATCATGCTTCAACAGCTGTACGTCAATGAGCGGATCCGGGGCGGCTACAACTCTGGTGTCAAGCAGATCCGGTACACAAGGGAAGGACCAAGGCCGTATTACGGCGACTCTCACTCGGGACAATTAGCTGGGTCCATTCATGACCATCCTGATCAATACCGGACGATGGGACTTGGGGAACTGGATGTCGTCCTCAATGGCATCGATTTCAGAACAAGGTTTCGATCCAACTAAATATCATGTATTACAAGATCACGTCCACCTTCATATTCTTACAAAACAATATTACGAAACTTTTAACACAAACAGTATCTGCAGTCAAACATCGTTGTGTCGAAGGTCAGTTTGGAGGTCGAAGGTTCGACACATCAAAGTGCGACAAAAGGTGTTTGACTGTATATACAGTTCCTGGCAGTACGTGCCTCTAAGGAGTTGTAAAAGTTGCAGCCAATCATATTCTTCTGTCTGTCTGTTACCTTGGGTATAGGTATGCACTGTATCCTGCTAAATTATTATAACTTGAGCATTGCATACTTACATTGAAACACTTGTTTGGTATTATATCATCGAGTCTCGTAACAGTCTCTTTAGTTACATATTCGTCAAAGCTTGGTGCCTTAACTACTGTACCTTTACTCACTCACGCACTATCGTTCCGCAAGGTAAATATATTTTATGGACAGATTTTATTATTTATTTTCAGACACAACGACTACAAGCTCCAAATGCCAGGCAACAACAAGATTTTGAATGCAGTGAAAGACGTACCCTTCCCGCCCGTTCCCGCCGCCGTAACTCGTCTGCATACCGCTCATGAACAAGAGGCGGAGATGCGAGAGTGGTTCTCTGCCTGGCAGAATCAGAACGAGACCCACAGACCATACAAGAACCACTTCACGCCAGTCCTGTGCTACCTGGAGGGATCCATGATGAAAGATTTGCAAAAGTTGTATGAGCCTTCCAAGACAAACGTACACCATTTTGATGCTTTGACACAAACCGAAATGCTGCAGAAGATCAGGTGAGTCACACCTTGTTAGATTCGTTCAGTAGGTATTCAGTAGGTATTGTGAGAAATGAAGGCTTAAGGTTAATGTTCTGAAACTAAAGTGAAATGCTGCAGAAGATCAGGTGAGTCACACCTTGTTAGATTCGTTCAGTAGGTATTGTGAGAAATGAAGGCTTAAGGTTAATGTTCTGAAACTAAAGTGAAATGCTGCAGAAGATCAGGTGAGTCACACCTTGTTAGATTCATTCAGTAGGTATTGTGAGAAATGAAGGCTTAAGGTTAATGTTCTGAAACTAAAGTGAAATGCTGCAGAAGATCAGGTGAGTCACACCTTGTTAGATTCGTTCAGTAGGTATTGTGAGAAATGAAGGCTTAAGGTTAATGTTCTGAAACTAAAGTGAAATGCTGCAGAAGATCAGGTGACTCAGCCCTTGTCCACAAATACCCATGATGTAGTCACAAGATGAGTGAGCTGGACAGAGTAGACGCCGTTCAGTATCCACAGGAGATATACATATTCAATTCGTTATTTTCATGTACATGACACACAAGCCTACTGAATATTTGTCAGAAGATGTTATTATGAAAGGATCATTACATCATTACACATCCATCTTCATGAAACACATTTGAAGTAAATCTTAATTATATGTCCTTATGTACAAGCAGCTGTACAACGACAATATACTGGAGGATACAAACATAATTGGTTAACATTTCCTTGGATTTGGTTACTAAAATATCTACTTTAAAACAAACTCGATAATATCAGCTTACATTGTTTTCATTATATGATTACACACCTGTCTATGTGAAAGACATTTGATGTATATCGGACATTTTCCTGCTAAAACAACATTAAACATAATTTCGAAAATCCATTACAGATTTTCAGGATACTCCGGCATTCAAAGCAGCAGCCAAGACCTCGCCTACCTACCCCGCTATGTCATGAACGTTGTCAATGGTACAATAGATCCTGCCCAATGGAACTACCGAGTCGCCTGCCATCCTCTCAGCGAGGACTTGCCACTGAAGAACCTCAAGCTGGTGGACGATTTGAACGTTAGGATGGCCAACTTGCTGACGTTTGATGAATACAGGAACAGCCCTGGAGCCAGGTTTGACCTCACTGAAAAGACGGACGATCAAGACTTCGTCTATGGGTTGTTGGACAAGGTCATGCAAGAGATCCCAGGGAAAGAAAATTACGGCGCCCTTATTCACGATTCTTTCCTCAGAGAGACAGTCAATGAAATCAAGTTTGCTAACTTTACCCCACTCAACACGGCATACTATCACCGGTGGTACAAGGTTGATGATAAAGGGGCGATGGGAGTGAAGATTGTCCACAGGGGATTTGCTGATTCTTACTTCTTCATTGCACAGACTACCCATCACGAGGTGGCCAGCATGACCCTCACAGATTGTCATAAGAACCCGACCACTCGGAAAACGGAGTGCGGTCCCATTACAAGACGGTATACTGCTGCTATACCTCTTGAGATAGTATACCTAACCCCTCTACATAACTGGAACCCCTACTCGATCCAATACAAGGGTGATTACAGCACCAACTATGCAAAATCTGTCATTGCCAACAAGAGGCATGGTGGGATGACCCAGGCCACTGCATTTGATGGCTCCAACAGCATGCACTGGTATCATACACCTAAAGAGTTCTTTGACACAGCTGCTTTGGACAAGAACAACCAAGCCCATAGCGTGGTGGGTGTTTTGGACTCAAAAGGAACTCCAAGAATGGTAATGGCATCTGGAATGCGCACCATACTTCCGAAAATCCCAGGAATTGGTTCAGTGAGGGCTCGTTATCCCATTCTTCCAGTGCACGGTGAAGGAATGAGTGTCTGGAAGGAACTGGATGCTCTTAAGGACATCACTATGAAAATACAGTCGAACACTGCAGCGTTTGAGAAGAACCCAGTCCATGCTGGCAAGGCACCTGTGATTGGCAAAGCACAGCCTAGTGTCCACTTCCTTGTTGGTCCATCAGACAAAGCTCACGGCAAACACACCCACAGAATTACCCTCACCTTTGCTCAGATGGAGTCGCTTGGTGCTGGGCACACCGTCAGTGTCAAGACATCCTACAACTCTGGGCACAGTCATCAGGTTGAGATCTACGTCAAGTCTGGTACCTCAGGCTTTCAGATAAAGAAATGCGATGGCCACGCTGGAGCCTGTTCTGATGGTCACCCCTTGACTCTCACTGTTATCCAGAACTGAACGTTGATCAGTCTATTCAGGTGGCAATAAACATGATCATATTTCTTTCGGTTGTTTCCGTATTTTCTAACTGAGTGAGTGAGTGAGTGTCTTCTCTGCCGTAAAGTAATGTCATGATGACAAACACGTGAAATGGGCTTTTCTCGTCATATCTATATGCGGATTCGTACTTTGTCCGTCGTTTAGTTACAAGCACCTGTGATACAGCTGGAATAATGCTGGGTGATGGCGTTAAACAACAAACACAAATAATATATGCAAGTGAGAAGTGAATGTCCTACATCATACTAGTCACTGTTTCTGTTTGATCGATTATGAGGCTTAGTTGGTCAAACTGTAGCCCTGCTGGTGGCTTTCACGAAACTCGGTAAGATCGTCTTTGACTTTCAGCTGACACGTTATGAAGATACAGTTTTGTTTGAAATATCACTCTCACTCACGTTATACATATAACACGGCACAATACTTAGGTATTCATTACATAGAGGGAATGTCCTGTAAAAAGATTACGTGCTTTTGGTACGTGAAAAATTGTTCAGAACATGGTAGCGGCAAAAACACCAGATAACCAGATATCAACCTGTCAGATCTCTTCGATCCTCTCAACGGTTTCTCCATCAGCCACCTGCACTAAAACCCAGTCGCATCACCAGCCGTTGTTTCCAAATTGCCGGACCAAACTTGTGGAATGAACACCCACACCATCTGAGATTAAACCACGACCTGGCTCCGATTTCTCGAAAAACCTTAAAAGTTTTTACTCAAATTTCAAACTGAGTTTGACAATTTGAAACAGCTGATTTTTTAACTCAACTGCATTTTTTAAAATAAAAATGCCCAAACAACTTAAGTAGCCTATCTACCCAACTCAAATTGTCAACTATGTTTGAGTGTAATATCGATTTCAGTTCATTCTGGGAAATGCATTTTCCTACTTTTTCTCAAATTTGAGTAAAAACTCTTACTTAAGTCAAAACTCAGACTTAAGTTTGTTTCGAGAAATCGGGGCCTGGACTCATTCAAATCACAGCTAAAGACTCACCACTTCCGTGAAGCATGTAAGAACTCACTTTCCGTCAGAGCCTCAAGCGCTACAAAGCTGTTTATTCTGGATATAGCGCTATAGAATTTTTTTTCCATAGATATAGATAGATAGTGACTTCGTAATATGTTGGTGAACTTGACTCGAACTTCTAATTAATAACGAGGAATTCAAACTATTTCGGTAGGTACATGTAATTTGGTATGAAAATGACTATATTTACCAATCATTCAATTTCGAAACACTGAATAATGTGGAAGCGAGATTGTCAATAATATGCTGTTATATACCTGCAAAATTAAATTTATTATTAATTATGACAATAATTGTGCACTGTCATAAACCATCAAAATACAAATGGGAAATATTTTGGAGCTGTTTTTAGCGACCTAATTATTTATACCACTTACAAAATTTGCAAGTAATGTCTATGAATAATAATGGAATCTTCACGGTGCCATCACATCATCAATCTGTGCAATTACTTAGAGCCGTCATATTGCTGAGTGCAGCGATAAACAGAATCAGTGATATCACAGCGCAATTTTACGCCCTTTGCTGTGTGTTTTTAATATTTCTTTTATTTATCATTATTTTTTATGCATTTTATTCATTTATTTTTATTTTAATGTATATTTTTGGGGGGGTGATGTTTGGTTGTTGTTGTGCTGTTGTCGTTGTTTTTGTTTGTTGGGTTTTTTGTGGGGAGATGATGTGGATGTGTCGTCACTCATATTTTGAGAAATATGCTGACTCACGCACGACTATTTTACTTCTAACTCGCACCAAAACGCATTACTCAAGGAATACCTATTTACCGTAATTAAAGAAACAGGCACAGCATATCAAAGTTGTCAAGTGCACTGTAACGTTGTGTTTTACAATCTTTATGCAGATATCGTTAAAGATTATGAGTGCATTTACCATACATTCGTTTTGAACATACTACTTCAGACTTCGATCCAAATTAATTTTCTTGTCCCTATTTCTTTTTCTTTCAGTCCTAATCTTCAATATTGCTTTCAATGAAACAAGAATTTGATTTCGAATGTATTCTTTTGTGGTTTCATTTTTGTGTTAATATATTTTTTAATTGATTTTGGATGTTTATTCAATAATTTCCCTTAGGAACACTTATTGCAAGCAATATTCTATCTAGGAGATATTTGTTGTCATTTCACTTTCTTTCGAACTTGTTTTTCTTTCGATGTTTCTGTTTATTACCAACTAGACTAAGTTTTTTTATAAGCTACATATGTTAAAAGACATTTTGTCTTTTGTACTGTGAAATTTGGCTGTGACTGATCCAGAATTGCACTTTAAAATTAGCAGATTAAATTCGTGAAAATACACCTAGGCGTTTCTTTTTGGGGAGAGTATATTTTACTCGCTTCCGAACCCTACGAAAACTGGATAAATGAACACAATGCTGATAAGGGAACATTACTTTCAATTGAAACATTTGTAAAAAAAACATTTGATAACAAAACAAACTTTCTAATATATATGGGCACTGCCAACTCTGTAAAACAAATTGAATACTTTTTTTTCTGTAAGCAAACATAGACATAAAAACAACACAAAAACAATCCAATCCGCCATATATAGAAAGCCTATTGAAAATTTCCACAGGAACTCAACATTACTATAACTAACTCAACTATCAAATCTTTGAAGGGCATTTAGAAGTGGAATACACAGGAAATGACAACTTCTTTATTGTGAATAACACGACGTTTCGGAGTGTATGCTTGCTCCTTCATCAGCTGAATGGTAGGGAGTATAAGGGGGATATATATATATATATATATATACATACATGGGCACTTAGAAAGAAAACATGTATAACAAGTTTAACAATGTTGAGGATAGAATATGTAATCACAACATGAGGCCAGTGATACATTAAAACAACATGATAATAGATTTGATGGGATGTAATACAAAACACGAGGAGGCCAGTGATACGCTAAAACAACATGGTAATTGATAGGGTGTAGAATAACACAGGGAAGCCAGTGATACCGTACACACACGTGGTAAGGGAGGGCAGTGAGCACTACAAACAAGAAGCCAGTGGGCTGATGAGGTGGTGATAAGCAATAGTGATGTACATGTAATTAGATGAGTGAGTCCCAAGCACATGGCAGGTAGATACCTTGGTCACGGTTGATTGCTGGCTGACATCTCCGTATGTCTAGGGCTTCCTGGAGCTTCCTATGGCGCCAGTTGTTGTTGTTTGTGGACAGGATTTTGGTGGCTTCCCATTTGATGGTGTGGTCCTTATTCTTTAGTATATGTTCTGATATGGCAGCCTTCTGGTCGAGCTTGTTGACGGAGGCTTGATGTTCCTTGAGTCTTGTGTTGACAGGTCGTAGCGTTTCCCCGATGTACAGTTGTCCACAACTACATGGAATTAGCTAGATGCATCCTCTAAAGTGCCCATGTATGTGCATATATATATATATATATATATATATATATATATATATATATATAGGGCGTAAATATATATATATATATATCCCTTATACGCCCTACCATTCACCTGATGAAGGAGCAAGCATACACTCTGAAACGTCGTGTTATTCACAATAAACAAGTTGACATCCATAAAATCTTGCTTTTCCTGACTCAACTATGCCAAAACAATCAACACAAAGTGGAACTTCATCCAACAAATTATTCAATATTTAACTGACTGACTGAGTTTAGTTTTGCGCCGCTTTTAGCAATATTCCAGCAATATCACGGCGGGGGACACCAGAAATGGGCTTAACACATTGTGCCCATGTGGGGAATCGAACCCGGGTTTTCGGCGTGACGAGTCAACGCTTTAACCACTAGGCTACCCCACCGCCCTCAATATTTAACGAATGGCCACATTATAATGTAATTCCTTTTAGCTGTACAATAGATAGTCGTATACAATGGTTCCAATACTAAATACTACACCATACATTACTAATTAATAATATCTTAAACTAGGATAAGCAGAAAGCAGTAGTTGTACTTTCTGCAATCACTTATTTATTCTGGGATTGCAGAAAGGTAAACTTTATCTAGAACTTACCTGAAATATGGTTTTACAATAAAATAAAGATTTGAAACTAAACAGAGACTTGAACTACTTCGTAATCAAAGTAGAAATAATTACTCTGTCATCATTATTGTTATGCTTTTAAAAAATTTGATTTTCAAAATAAGCTTCACCAAAATTTGTTACCGTTAGGTATTTTCTAAATGAAGTAGAATGATGCCAAGTGATCACTGAATGTTCCTCTTTGATAGACTGTAGCATAGATTCCAAGTTTTGCTCTATTTTATTAGTTCATATACACGTTTGTGCTGTTGAGTATGTTTAGAGATATATGCTATTCCATATCATACAAAGCTCATTGGTATTTCTATTCCTGTAAAGCGTTGAAAAATGCAACATAAAAATGCAACAAAAGTTATAAATATGTTCACAAAGTTATAATTGTCCTTGTGTATATCTGTTTCATACAAGAAAATTCGGTGCAGGTGAGTCCATGTGTAAATATTTGTCGTGTTGTCCTCAGATAGCTTGTCTAGGGGATGGGGCCAAGTCAGATGCAGGGGAGATAACCCTGTCTGAGCACAACAACTTGTATCTTTTCGTGATAAATCGGACCCTAGAAATAATGAACTTGTAATCTATCGATAGCAAGCATGTACGATAAGAAATATGTATAAAGCCCAAGCAAATTAGTGGCTGTTATTCAAAGAAGTCCAGAATGGTAAGGCACCGAACTTGTACATACAATTTCTGAAGGAGCCATAATAACTAATCGTAACTCTCTCAATCTATAGCTTAATACTAGCTAAATGGCTCACTTACCTTGGTGAGACAAGGATAATAACCCGAATGCTTCACATAATCATGATCATTTTCCTCAATGGAATATTCTCTCGATTACAGCCAATGAATCAATATTATACTCAAGGCATCACGTTAAAAGTGAAACCGGTCACGTTCTTA